AAAGGCATTGAGGATTGGAGGTTGATTTTTCTATCATATCTTGTTACAGTTCACAAGGGACCTTCAGCATAAACAACGCCTTGACAGGTTCCAGTTTCAAAAAGTTACAATATTGTTCTTTTTGACAAGGCTGCTGTTCCATTAAACTGTTTTGTGTTGTTTTTTTCTTTTTGTTTTCTTTCTGCCTTTACGACTTCCATTTTAATCAATGTCCACGTATAATAACTTATTTACTGGAAAAAATTAAAAACATCAAGTAACATCATTTCAAAGTTCATTGAATTGGACTGAATCTTACTCAAGTAACTGCGAACTTTTTTATTTTGTCAATCAGTAGCAAACACTGCTTTGTTAATAAATTGTATCTTTAAAATGTGTTCTTTTTCGTTTAAAGTTTGTTACACGACTTTTGTTTTAAAAAGTGTATAGCCAGTAACAATGATTTGTAAAACCAGTCCTGTTTTGATGTCTGTGTGTGCATCCTCTTTGTTTCCCTCAACTTGACCCGCAAATATGCACCTGTATAATTATTGTATGGGATAGTACAGCATAGCTTTAGCTTATATTGAAGCACTAGTCGTCCAAAGCGGAGCACTGGTGTCTTTGGTATAGCTTTTAGTTAGGCTCTTCGCCGTCACACGCTGGAGACCAGAGTTCGATTCCCAAGTGGGAAGACATTTTTATCGAGTATCTCGGTCTTTCCGCTGGGATTTTGCACTCCTCTCAGCCCGGGTTGGCCCTGACAGACAGGGTCCAAAGCCTGCCTCTGAACTAAATGATCTACATGGTGTTGATGGGGGGTGTAACAACAACAACAGCAGCAGCAGCAACATTAACAACAGCAACAACAACAACAACAGCAGCAGCAACATTAACAACAGCAACAACAACAGCAACATCAACAACAACAACAGCAACAACAACAGCAACAAACAGTGCTCCTACTTTTTGCCAATCCAAGTTCGAGAAAGTCTCGTTAGAGATTCAAAGCCTGGTAAACAAATGTCGCCTTGGATTGCCTGCTGGTAAGTGCAGCTTTCAAAAGAAAATAAAATATTATTAGAAGCTTTGAAGTCAAATTCAAAACTTTTGCAACCCGAGCTACGCCTTTTCCTTACTTTACTTAACTTTTCTCATCAAATAAAACAGATTGCAGGGGCGTAAAGGTCAAAGTAGAGGAACATGGATCTAGGCCAAAATCGGAGAAAACAAAGTGTTAGCTGTTTTTGGAATTTTAACTTACTTTATTTTTCCTCTTTTAAAAAAAATTACTTTTTCATCCTCTGTTAGCGTTGAGTGTCCCGGG